TTAACTACCTCGCCTGGTGTGCAGGAGGTCGTGGGTTCGATCCCGACCCTGACGATTCCTGCTGTATATTTGGAGTTTGTGTGTCTCTCTCTCTCATCATCACGGTGGCTGGGCTACCTCGCCTGGTGTACAGGAGGTCGTGGGTTGGATCGCGACCCTGACGCCTGCTGCTGTATATTTGGAGTTTGTGTGTCTCTCTCATCATCATCATCACGGTGGCTAGGAGATGTCAACTACCTCGCCTGGTGTGCAGGAGGTCGTGGGTTGGATCGCGACCCTGACGCCTGCTGCTGTATGTTTGGAGTTTGCGGGTCTCTCACCCCGCGGTTTTTGTCCTCCACATTTAGAATCGACGCTGCGTTTAGAGTATTTGGCCGCTCTGAAATGTCCACGTGATGATGATGAGCCAACTTAGTTGAACCTTCATTTGCGGTGGCCAGGTCGCTATACAACTCAGCGGATCTTGATAAAAATAGTTCTAATAGTTTGATGTCGGGGGATGAGTGGAGTGGGTGATGAGAGCTAGTGGGGAGGGGAAGTAGGGAAGGATTGAGGCAGAAGTGAGCTGCGTACGGAGCGGCGTCTGCTTTCACAGTGGGTGGCGACGGGGGAGAGGGGAAGGGTTTACAGTGGGGGTGGTCACACACAGAAGCCGCGTGCTTAATTCTAGATTTGAAGTTTTCGTGACTGCAAGGACACTGAAGCGGTTTGAGCTTTCGCTAAGTTGTCTTCACCTGAAGAAGGACGCTTGTGTTGCGCCCGAAACGTCGTGATTGAATTTCTTTAAATTTTTTTACCTACGTGACTTTACCGAAAAAACCAAAGAGTAAGAAGCCGCGTGGTTTACTGGAGGCCTGAGCTGGTTTAGAGAGAGATCTTTCGATGAGAGGGGAAGGTTTCAGTGTGACGGTGGCCACACACAGAAGCCGCGTGGATTACTGGAGGCCTGAGCTGATTTAGAGATCTATAGATGAGAGGGGAGGGTTTCAGTGTGACGGTGGCCACACACAGAAGCCGCGTGGATTACTGGAGGCCTGAGCTGATTTAGAGATCTATAGATGAGAGGGGAGGGTTTCAGAGTGACGGTGGCCACACACAGAAGCCGCGTGATTTGAGTCCGAGAGAGTTGGGGGGGGGGGCACCTGTGAAGGCCTTGCTCTTGAGGCCACGGACGGACACTGGGTCTGTGTGGTCGTTCCCCGCCAACAGCGGCACCAGCGGCAGCAGCGACGGGTGGAGGTCGGAGAACGCGGCACGGAGACGCTCCTGCGGATAAAGCGCCGCGTAGACCGTCACACAGAGGTCGCAACCGGGTACCCGATACCCGTACCCTACCCGATACCCGTACCCTACCCGATACCCGATACCCGTACCCTACCCGATACCCGGCTACCCGTACCCTACCCGATACCCGGCTACCCGTACCCGGCCGGGTATCGGGTACGGGTAGACCGTGAGTCACTGGTGAGTCACCGTTTGTCACTCATTTCCCAACGTCTTGTCTCTTCTCACAATTCAAGTTCCTAGAATCAACCCACCCGCGCCTGCAACATGGCTTCATCCCAGAGGTCGCAATCAGGTACCCGTACCCGGCCGGGTACGGGTAGCCGGGTATCGGGTAGGGTACGGGTACCCGTTTGCGACCCTGGTGCGGCCGGGTACGGGTAAGGAATCAAAACCCGTTTGCGACCTCTGGCGGATCAGGCACCACGGTAGGTCCTGGTGTCAGGGACACGGGCCCGCAACCGCTGTTCCGTCACCGTAGAGTCCAGCAGATCTTATTGCCCGCACCCAGCATGTGCCACAAACAATGAGAGCCACACGCACCGTACACACAACTCAAGCTGCGTCTCAACCTCTCACTGGGCCCATCGGCACAGGCACAACCGATCACCTCCACGCCGCGTAGATCCACACCTGGCGGAACAAACGGATGGGCAGGAATGTACGGCACGGCTGCTGTTGCTGCTGCTGCTGCTGTTGCTGCTGCTCCTGATGCTGCTGATGCTGCTGATGCTGCTGTTGCTGCTGCTGTTGCTCCTGATGCTGCTGTTGCTGCTCCTGCTGCTGCTGATGCTGCTGTTGTTGCTGCTGCAGCAGCTGTTCGGCCTGCTTTTGTTGCTCCACCTGCTGCTGTTGCTGCTGTTGCTGCTGCTGTTGCTGCTGCTGCTGCTTTGTCCGCTGATGCTTCTGGCGCTTCTGGTGCTTTTGCTTCTTCCCTTGTCGTTCCGGCCGCTTCCCTTGCTGCCTCTCCTCCTCCTCCTCCTTCTCATCGTCCGCCGCCCTCTCCCCCTCCCCCTCCTCTACGGGCAGCGGCTGGCGCCAGTCCAGGTGCTGCAGGTGCAGGAAGCCCGAGGGCAGCGGCGCCAGGTAGAAGTCGCTGTCGGCGCTGAGCAGCGGGCAGCGCAGGCGGCGAGCGAGGGCGCCTGCGGGCCGGTCGGCCTCGGCAAGGCACACGACGCAGGGCACCGCGCACGCTCGCACGGCCTGCTCAAACACCTCGCGCAGCAGCAGCGGCACCGCCTCGCCACTGGGGACCGCCACGGGGAGGGGGCCGGAGGGGGAGGGGGGGGGAGCAGGAGGGGAGGGGGGGGGAGCAGGAGGGGGGGGGAGCAGGAGGGGAGGGGGGGGGAGCAGGAGGGGGAGGGGGCCGGAGGGGGAGGAGGGGGAGCAGGAGGGGAGGGGGGAAGAGGAGAAAAGGCGAGAGGGGTTAAACGGCTGTGGCAAAGGCTAGCGAAGAGATGGGATGATGGGTGAGTGGGTGGGCGAGTGGCACGGGCGAGGGAAGAGATGGAGTGATGGGTGGGTGGGTGAGTGGCACGGGCTAGGGAAGAGACGGAGTGATGTGTGAGTGGGTGGGTGAGTGTCACGGGCTAGAGAAGAGATATAGTGATGGGTGAGTGGGTGGGTGAGTGACACGGGCTAGAGAAGAGATATAGTGATGGGTGAGTGGGTGGGTGAGTGACACGGGCTAGAGAAGAGATGGAGCTGATGAGTGAGTGGGTGGGTGAGTGGCACGGGCGAGAGAAGAGATGAGCTGATGTGTGAGTGGGTGGGTGAGTGGCACGGGCTAGAGAAGAGATGGAGCTGATGAGTGAGTGGGTGGGTGAGTGGCACGGGCGAGAGAAGAGATGAACTGATGTGTGAGTGGGTGGGCGAGTGGCACGGGCTAGAGAAGAGATGGAGTGATGTGTGAGTGTGTGGGTGAGTGACACGGGCTAGAGAAGAGATATAGTGATGGGTGAGTGGGTGGGTGAGTGGCACGGGCTAGAGAAGAGATGGGATGATGTGCGAGTGGGTGGGCGAGTGGCACGGGCTCGAGAAGAGATGGAGTGATGGGTGAGTGGGTGGGTGAGTGACACGGGCGAGAGAAAAGATGGACTGATTTGGTACAAGAAGATCTGCAGCTGAGTCGACCTCTGTGGAGGAGGCTTGTCAAGGATGCTACTGGGTAATTGGAGGCAGTCGCCCTCCAGCAACAACGAGCGAAGCGCCGGGTAGCTAAAATGCAGCGAGTTGGCACGGTAGGGGGAGGGCACAGCTGGTGCATGTACCAGTCATCTCAGGTACTCAACCAATGGCACCTGGGTCTGTTCCGTGACCTCTTGTCAGCGATTCCTCGACACTCCGTGTGGCCTCAAGGTGCACCTGGCCTGGCACGGGCTCCGTGGCGACGTCACCGCCACTTAGTGGTGAATGGCGCCTATTGTTGTTGTGTGTGTACGTGCGTGCAGTGTGCGCGTGCGTCCGCAGGTACCGGCTCGCCCCTCTCGCGAGGGACAGGGCGTTGGCGATGCGTTCATGCGCCCGCGTCACGTGGGTCGCCCTCTTCCTGGGCGCCGAGGCCCCGTCCAGCACCATCAGCGGCTCCACGCGGCACGCGCGCAGCGCACGCACCCACGCACGCACCTCCGCCGCCAGCCTGCCGCGGAGACGGGGACAACGTGGGCACGCCGCTAAGGAGACGCACGGACCCAGTTTGAACGTGACTGGTCGACGACCCCCGGAGCGTGTCTCTGTGTCAGAGGTCGCAACCGGGTACCCGATACCCGTACCCTACCCGATACCCGGCTACCCGTACCCGGCCGGGTACGGGTACCCGTTTGCGACCCTGGTGCGGCTGGGTACGGGTAGACCGTGAGTCACTGGTGAGTAACCGTTTGTCACTCATTTCCCACAATTCAAGTTCCTAGAATCAACCCACCCGCGCCTGCAACAAGGCTTCATCCCAGAGGTCGCAATCGGGTACCCGATACCCGTACCCTACCGGTACCCGGCCGGGTACGGGTACGGCCGGGTACGGGTACGGGTAAGGAATCAAAACCCGTTTGCGACCTCTGCTCTGTGTCACCGTGTCTCCCTCACCCCGTGTAGTCGCCCCCGTGTGTCCCCGTGTCTCCCTCACCCCGCGTAGTCGTTCCCGCGTGTCCCCGTGTCTCCCTCACCCCGCGTAGTCGCCCCCGTGTTTCTGGTCGAGCCTCGCCGCTCGGTACAGATGGTGGCAGAGCGCGTCCCCGTCCACCAGGAGCTGCACGCCGTGAAGCCTCGTGTCCTCGTGGAGATCGGGGCGAGAGTGGACCCACGCGGTGAGGCCCGGCACACCCATCTCACTCCCCTCTCTCACTCACGGAGAGGCACGGGGGGGGGGCAGGGGGGGGGGAGGAGGCATGGGGAGAGACCGGGGGACACAGGGAGACAGACAGAGGGTGAGACCGTGGGGACATGAGGAGCCAGAGGAGAGACACAGGGAGAGACCGGGGGACATGGGGAGACAGGGGGAGAGACACTGGTGGTGAGACTGGGCTCTAAAGAAAGCTGCCTCTGGTGTGGACCAATCGGTTTCAATGACCAGGCATAAATTACACTGGTCAACACACTTTTTCTGGCATGAGGTATTCCAACGGTTTTAAGGTAATTTTGGGGTGCTGATTCCAAATCTGGCATCAGTTTTTGTCTATCACATCAGGTTTTGAGATATCAAATATTGCATTTTCAATAAAAACTGCAGAAGAAAAATATTAAATAAATGTGGATGTCTACATAAAATGATATTATAAACACACTATCCTAAAAATACAGCACCATATTTTAACACTAAAGCAGTCACTGACTCGCAACAACTTGCAATCATAAGTAACAGAGTTAATTTCGGGTAAAATCAATGAAAATTGGGTATGCCGATAGCATAAAAATGAGATGTGATAGAGCAAATCCGAGATCAGATTTGGAATCAGCACCCTGAAATGAGTCTAAAACAGCTGCAAAAGTCCAGGCCAGAAAAAAATGTGTTTTTTTTGTTGACCAGTATAATTTTTGTTTGTTTTCCATCCGGTGTTCTCCATGTTCATTTGCTGTAGTATTTTTTGTTCGAAATTAGTATTACGTATGAGCATGTCATGTTTTGAAGCCTTTCCCTCTCCACCCAGCCCCTCCCCACCCAGCCCTTCCCTCTCCACCCAGCCCCTCCCCACCATCCCCTCTCCACCCAGCCCGACCCCTCCCATTTTTGGATGCACGACGGACGGACGGACACAATAATCCCGTGGGCTGGTGGAACCAGGTGGTTCCTACCAGTATTATTATAACACTGCCCATAGACTCAACACTGCCCATAGACTCAACACTATCCATAGACTCAACACTGCCCATAGACTCAACACTGCCCATAGACTAACACTACCCATAGACTCAACACTGCCCATAGACTCAACACTGCCCATAGACTCAACACTATCCATAGACTCAACACTGCCCATAGACTCAACACTGCACCATAGACTCAACACTGCCCATAGACTCAACACTGCACCATAGACTCAACACTACCCATAGACTCAACACTGCCCATAGACTAACACTACCCATAGACTCAACACTACCCATAGACTCAACACTACCCATAGACTCAACACTGCCCATAGACTCAACACTACCCATAGACTCAACACTGCCCATAGACTACACTACCATAGACTCAACACTACCCATAGACTCAACACTACCCATAGACTCAACACTACCCATAGACTTCAACACTGCCCATAGACTCAACACTGCCCATAGACTCAACACTACCCATAGACTCAACACTGCCCATAGACTCACACTACCCATAGACTCAACACTACCCATAGACTCAACACTGCCCATAGACTCAACACTGCCCATAGACTCAACACTACCCATAGACTCAACACTACCCATAGACTCAACACTACCCATAGACTCAACACTGCCCATAGACTCAACACTACCCATAGACTCAACACTGCCCATAGACTCAACACTACTCCCATAGACTCAACACTGCCCATAGACTCAACACTGCCCATAGACTCAACACTACCCATAGACTCAACACTGCCCATAGACTCAACACTGCCCATAGACTCAACACTGCCCATAGACTCAACACTGCCCATAGACTCAACACTGCCCATAGACTCCACTACCCATAGACTCAACTACCCATAGACTCAACACTGCCCATAGACTCAACACTACCCATAGACTCAACACTACCATAACTCAACACTGCCCATAGACTCAACACTGCCCATAGACTCAACACTGCCCATAGACTCAACACTACCCATAGACTCAACACTACCCATAGACTCAACACTGCCCATAGACTCAACACTACCCATAGACTCAACACTACCCATAGACTCAACACTGCCCATAGACTCACACTGCCCATAGACTCAACACTACCCATAGACTCAACACTACCATAGACTCAACACTGCCCATAGACTCAACACTACCCATAGACTCAACACTACCCATAGACTCAACACTACCCATAGACTCAACACTACCCATAGACTCAACACTACCCATAGACTCAACACTGCCCATAGACTCAACACTACCCATAGACTCAACACTGCACCATAGACTCAACACTGCCCATAGACTCAACACTGCCCATAGACTCAACACTACCCATAGACTCAACACTACCCATAGACTCAACACTGCACCATAGACTCAACACTGCCCATAGACTCAACACTACCCATAGACTCAACACTACCCATAGACTCAACACTGCCCATAGACTCAACACTGCCCATAGACTAACACTACCCATACTCAACACTGCCCATAGACTCAACACTGCCCATAGACTCAACACTGCCCATAGACTCAACACTACCCATAGACTCAACACTGCCCATAGACTCACACTGCCCATAGACTCAACACTACCCATAGACTCAACACTGCCCATAGACTCACCACTGCCCATAGACTAACACTGACCATAGACTAAACTACCCATAGACTCAACACTACCCATAGACTCAACACTACCCATAGACTCAACACTGCCCATAGACTCAACACTACCCATAGACTCAACACTACCCATAGACTCAACACTGCCCATAGACTCAACACTGCCCATAGACTCAACACTACCCATAGACTCAACACTACCCATAGACTCAACACTACCCATAGACTCAACACTGCCCATAGACTCAACACTGCCCATAGACTCAACACTGCCCATAGACTCAACACTGCCCATAGACTCAACACTGCCCATAGACTCAACACTGCCCATAGACTCAACACTGCCCATAGACTCAACACTACCCATAGACTCAACACTGCCCATAGACTCAACACTGCCATAGACTCAACTCAACACTGCCCATAGACTCAACACTACCCATAGACTCAACACTGCCCATAGACTCAACACTGCCCATAGACTCAACACTGCCCATAGACTCAACACTGCCCATAGACTCAACACTACCCATAGACTCAACACTGCCCATAGACTCAACACTGCCCATAGACTCAACACTGCCCATAGACTCAACACTACCCATAGACTCAACACTACCCATAGACTCAACACTACCCATAGACTCAACACTACCCATAGACTCAACACTACCCATAGACTCAACACTGCACCATAGACTCAACACTGCCCATAGACTCAACACTACCCATAGACTCAACACTGCCCATAGACTCAACACTACCCATAGACTCAACACTGCCCATAGACTCAACACTGCCCATAGACTCAACACTACCATAGACTCAACACTGCCCATAGACTCAACACTGCCCATAGACTCAACACTGCCCATAGACTCAACACTGCCCATAGACTCAACACTACCCATAGACTCAACACTGCCCATAGACTCAACACTACCCATAGACTCAACACTGCCCATAGACTCACACTGCCCATAGACTCAACACTGCCCATAGACTCAACACTGCCCATAGACTCAACACTGCCCATAGACTCAACACTACCCATAGACTCAACACTGCCCATAGACTCAACACTACCCATAGACTCAACACTGCCCATAGACTCAACACTGCCCATAGACTCAACACTGCCCATAGACTCAACACTGCCCATAGACTCAACACTACCCATAGACTCAACACTGCCCATAGACTCAACACTACCATAGACTAACATGCCCATAGACTCAACACCCATAGACTCAACACTACCCATAGACTCACACTGCCCATAGACTCAACACTACCCATAGACTCAACACTACCCATAGACTCAACACTGCCCATAGACTCAACACTGCCCATAGACTCAACACTGCCCATAGACTCAACACTGCCCATAGACTCAACACTGCCCATAGACTCAACACTACCCATAGACTCAACACTACCCATAGACTCAACACTGCCCATAGACTCAACACTGCCCATAGACTCAACACTGCCCATAGACTCAACACTGCCCATAGACTCAACACTACCCATAGACTAACACCCATAGACTCAACACTACCCATAGACTCAACACTGCCCATAGACTCAACACTGCCCATAGACTCAACT